AGTATTATATGAGGAAATGTTTTTATGTTTTGGATTATTCTATTTAATACAATAAAGATAAGATAAAGATAAAAATAAAAATTCTGACATTTCTAATTTTCTTATTTTCAAAATGAAGTTAATGAAAATAAAATAAGGTTTCAATAATAATAAAATATAAAGTGAGAAAACTGAAAAATTAATTTGTTTAAATCCTGTTACAAGATGGCAGGTAGTATGGTAATGCAACTATAATATTGTGGCATTTTGATTTTAGTATAAATTGATATTGTTCTTTGTTATGTTTGATGTGTTGAATAGTTTGTTTCTTTCTTTGTTGAATAATTTACAGTTTATCAAATGATGTATTTCATCTTCTACTTTATGGCAATTAGAGCAATATGAGAATGATCTTATTCCTAGGAGGGTGTCAGTTTCACGAAACAGAACCTAGATAAATTCCATAAATTGTGGTGTATAGAAATTATTTTCTCTTCGGAAATAACTTCCATACCCTCTAACATGTAGAAAAGACCATAAGGTTCTGTCATAACACTTAAAGCTTGCTGTATTTTCTGACATTATTTTCAGCCTGGGTCAGTGGTAGTGAGGAGAGACATTATGACATGAAATTCCCACCATGGTAAGTGCACATTTATCTATTGTTTATCATTGTAGAATTCGCATAACACCAAATTATGCAATCACTGTCTCTCCATCTGGTCTCCATCTTTTGGGGGAAATTATTACTGTAAAACATGTCTTTTTTGTGAGCATGTCTTTTTAGTGAATTTAGCGAGAGAAATGATTCGCTAATTCAAGATGTTGCTAATGACTTTATTATAAATTCAAAATGACCAAGGCTTGACTTGACAGTTTTTTTTTTTTTTTTTATGGAGGTGATAACTGCGCATTTGTTTTGGCACGCGACAGACAAGTATTGTGAAAACAGGAAATCAACAATGACAGGAGAGATTCGCTATTTAAAATCAACATTTCGCTATTACGTCATTTTACCACAATTCGCTAAAATTGCATGTCGCTTTTTCAACATGTTTTATAGTACCTCTATAGTACCTCTTTAAGAACTTGTTACAGAACAATCTCTATTTACCTTATACTAAATTTGTAATAACATTCAGGTAAAGCGTTATTATATATTCATTTTCACTGATTGTAATATTAGAAAAAGTTGCCCCCCCCCCCTATACATATCTCTGTGAAAATAGGAATACATATGCATAACAATTTGTGTTTTGAAGAGCTGACTATTTAATTTCAGCGTAAATGTAGGAAAGACTTGGTTTTGTGCCAGATATCAGTTTCATGCATTAAATGTCTCAATCCTCGGGGTGGAGCTACGTCACAAGACGTTCCAAATTGCTGAGACGTGCACATCTGTACGACGTATTTCTATGGGCTCTGCATGTGCTGCTGTGGAACGCCGAGCGAAGGGGCGGTGAAAATAGCTAAATTTGAAAAAAACGTTTAACATAAACTCAATTTTGAAGCACAATGTAGTCCTGCACAACCAAATTTATATGTTACACATGCATGGGTAATCTTGTTACACTGTTCAGGGGAGTCTCAACAACCATCCCGAAGTATCGTTTTCTTTGAGAATTTTTGGCCTTTGTTATCACCGTGATGGTTGCCATGCGGTGAAAATGTCCGGATGTCGTCCCCCCGAGCATTGTTTCTCCTGACACTTTTATATGCAAATCGCAAGTAGAATGCTCACAGCATAGAACTCAATCATCATAAATGATTCTTGATGCGATTCATAAGTAAATATTTATAAAAAAAATCTTAAACATCATATCTTATTTAATTGCTATTCTAGTTTGTTGGTTGTTTATATAGTTTGGATGGCAATCCTTTTTTCAAAGCCTTGAAAATGACAACAGCCGATCAGTGAATGACATTTTGTTATGCAGAGTATCATTCCATAGTAGTTTCAGTGACATCAGCTATGTTAAATATACTGTGTAATGTCAGGTAGTAGGTACCGTAAAAATTCTAAAATTTCGTCCTCTCTAAAAATTTGAGTGTGTAATTATTTGCCCAATTTCAGTATTTTTTTGACCTCCAAATTTTTGACTTCGCCAAAAGTTGCCGACTTATTCTTATTCAAAAATTACGACCAGTTTTGGTTTTCTCCTAGATGAAAAAAATCACATGGTTGCATAGTTTATTTGTGGAACAAGTTCAAACATGGCCTGATTATTCAGCATAATATTCTGTGCAAAAAGAGGTCAGCCTGTTACTGATCGCATACCCTTGTATGGAAGCTTGAGTTTGTTTTGCCTGCCACAGTGTAAAACACTGTTCACTTCTTTTATTTTTCGTACTACAGTCCGCATTTCAGCGACTACTGACCTACAATGACACAGCCAGACATTCGTTTTGAATTTACCGTTGATGTGAGCGTCCAAACGGGACTTTCCCCGAAGGCGTGTATGCAATATACCAATGTATTATTTGTGTTCAATGTCATGTGACTAAGTTCTAACCAATCATAGCATGGTACCGGTAACAATGAAATGTGATAATTTCTTTTATATATTAGTCCCGTCAAATTGAAGGATGGTGATACATGCTGCTCTATCTCATCGGTATCATTGGATGAATGGGCTGAATGCAGAAAAAGATTCCTCTTTTTAACTCCACCCAATGAAAGTGTAGACACTGGAAATGGTAAGCATCTCTTAGAGTATACTGCCCTCATTCGGGGTCTTTTAGAAATATAGTTCTTCTGCAATAAATTTAATATTCAATGACATGCACGTGGTTAGAATGCCTGCCCAACATTAGAGAGATTTCTAGTTTGACTCAACTCAAAGTACATATGCCTGCTTGCCATGCTGGTAGCATTCGGGGCTGGAAAGATGCCTTTCTTTTGAAGGTATTCTAAGTGGTGTACGTGTTGTTCTACTTGTATTTTTGTTTGTAAATACATTGTATTTTCCTTGTGTGACACCTGAAGGCACATGTTTGTCATGTGATCAGTTTTCTGAACCAAATCCAAGTGTCACACAGCCTCAGGATTTCATATACTGTGAAATACTTTATTTTCGCTTAGAATTAATTTTCGCTGAAGGAATGATTCAGTAAAAATAAAATCCAGCAAATATACCCTTTTTCCTATATTTTACATTCAACTCATCAGAAATTAGTGAAAATAAATTCCATACAAAACACTTAAAAAGTGTTTTCAGCAAAATCAATTCCAGTTAAAATAAAGTATTCTACAGTACATGTATGTATCAAATCAAATATTTGTGTAAGAATGTTTATTTGTTCCTGTTGAAACAAATTTCAAAAACAGGGACCTATAATTTGATCTTCGTCCATCTATAATTCACCCATCTGTCCATCCACAGTCATATTTCAGAACCCTCTGGCCCAAATTGATCATATAAGCACATGAGCACATGCAGTGGTTTAGCGATGTCCAACTGGCAGTAATTTTTTTTTAAATGTGGTATTTTGGACATGTTGTTGGTACATACATTATACTATTATACATATAATTGTTTGGATACGTATTATGATAATTGGTTTCACGAACGGATAAAAGATGGGTGACTAACAACCATTTTGTACTTCATACGCATTGGAATACACGTCCATGTCAGTTTGTTTCATAATTAGATTATAGATGGCCGACGAGCAGCCACCTTGTTTTTTGAGAATATGGTTACTTGGACACACTTTATCAGTTTTTGTTCAAATTAAATTATTACATTACATTATACGTGTTGAGATACATGTTTGTAAAGATTTGTTTCGTGATAAGATTCAAAATGGCCAATTAGCAGCCATATTGCTTTTTAGCTCCGCTGTCGACTTTGTCGAGCGGAGCTTATCATATGAGTGATTGTCCGTCGTCGTCGTCCGTGTCAATGTTTTACTTTTTCGACTTCTTCTTGAAAACTACAAGCCTAAATGCTTTAATACTTGGTGTATATGTACCTTGGGTAGACCTCTCTTAGGTTTGTTCATTTCATGTTGATATCTTCAATTCTCTAATTTTGGTGAATATTTTTGTCATTTTTGGTAAAAAGTGATATTTTCGACTTCTTGTTAAAAACCAATAGTCCGATTGCTTTGATATTACATATATAGATACTACATGTAGACCTCTCTCAGATTTGTTCATTTTGTGATGATATCTTCAATTCTCTATTTATTTTGGTGAATATTTTTGTAATTTTGGGTAAAAAGTGATATTTTCGACTTCTTGTTAAAAACTGTAAGTCCGATTGCTTTGATACAATTCATATTGTTCATTTTCTAATGATGTCTTCAGTTCTTTAATTGAAATGTGCATTGCTAACAGCGGAGCTATCTCAGCCGATAGGCTGCTTGTTTTTAAATGTATCATTTACATTAAATTTTGTTTTTTGTTTTATTCAAATTATAAATGTTAGAATACATGTCCGTGACAATTAGTTTCACAATCAGATCAAAGATGGTCAATGGCAGCCATTTCCTTTTTTAGCCAAACTACTATAATAATATCTCTTTCACCTACTGGTATGTACCGTGATTCAAAGATGGCCGTCTGACATAAAATAAAAACAAAAATATGCATCATGATTTGTTCTATGATAGGATTAAAGATTGTCTACTGCTGATACTCTTTGGTGATACTACTATATCCATGATACTCATATATAGTCTTATATATGTGTCACATTCATCATAATACACACCTATGTTTGTTTCTGAGAATGTCTTCCACAAATGTTGCACCAATGTTCATCATCAGTAAATAAAAATCAAAAACAAATATTTATTAAATATAAAATATAATGTACATACTAGTAGATCATTTAGCATAACCTGAGTGAGTCTGGTTGCAAAGAAATTCAGATTTCCTCCTGAGATTACGTCTGACATGAGTATATTTCAACTGATACTCTTAGTTGTGAATTCTCTAAGATACAATGTATGTTAGTCACATGGTACATGTTCATGTTTGACTTATGTTTCATTCTCATTAAATTGTAAAGTTGCTTAATTTTTCACCATTAAAACATTGTTAGAAAGATTGTGACTGGGTAATGGTAAACAAATAAGGGCAAAAAGAAAAAAAACTTATGTTGCCCTCAAGTCTTTTTTACTGCTTAAAATGGTGAGTTTTTAATATTTGGGCCTATTAAAAAATAAAAAAAAACCTGTGACCCGATATTTCATATTTTTCGGTCGGTCGCTGAGAGCAACAAAACAATTTTTTTTTTTGGCCTAAGCTGGCACACACTTATGATACTGTAGATATACTCTTTACTTGAATTTGGAACCAAAAATTGTATAAATTTGAGAAATAGCAAATAGAAATATAAAGTTTGTGAACAAATAGAAGTCATGAAAATGATTTTTGTTGATACTACCGGTAGATTAGAATATTATTCACTTTCAAAAACTGTCCATACACGAAATAATTCATTTAGAAATAATTTGCCTGGTCACATGATCAGTCATTTGTACATTCAATTTGATTGGATATATTATGCATGTAATGATACATGTCTATAATAATGACAGATAAAAGATAACAGGCTTGCAGCCATCTTGCTTTTTATTACATTACATGTACTTGGCCACAGTACGAAATAAATTACTTTATTTTAGGCAATAACATTTCCCCTAATTGGAATGAGGACTGTGAAATTAACGAAGACTTGTTTGTTTGTAGGTTCCCTACTGCTTGATGATCAATTTCGTGGTCAGTTATTTGTTAAAGGTACCTGGGTTGCTGATTGGATTGAGGATAATTTGCATACTGGTGTTAATTTTTGTGAATTGAGAATCGATAGAGATAGAAATGCTGTATCTCAGCCAACCGAGATTGATCATAAGGTAATTATGAATAGTAACTTCTATAGGAATATCGTATCTCAGCCAATTGAGATTGGTTACCAATTGATCATAAGGTACTGTCAAATACTTTATTTTCGCTTGGAATTAATTTTCGCTGAATATACCTTTTTACATTCAACTCAGTCACAAATCAGTGAAAATAAATTCCATACAAAACACCTAAAAAGTCATTTCAGCAAAAATTAATTCCATCTAAAATAAAGTATTTTACGGTAATTATGAATAGCACTTTTGATAGGAATACTTTATCTCAGTTTTTCATGAAACTCCTTGATCCCATGAGCGGTGTCATGACACTCCTACCAAATGTAGGCTCTTACCCCTGCCACTATTCACCATACAAACATGTATTTGGTATCTAAACCTTGTTTTTCACTCCCACTGACATCCTTGATATTCGCATCAAAGCAGAGATTTGATACCAAATTGTTGTTCAGTTCTTGCCAGCTTTTTCATAGTAATTATGAAATCATCTTTGTATCACTGAACATAAACCTTCATTGAATTCACATTGGATTTTTCATTTGTAGTTGAGTTCTATGTGGCCACGTGCTTTAGAACAAAGAAGCGATTTAGCTGGCAGATACTTTGATTTATTGGCAAATAATCCGTAAGTATTATATACCATTTCTTTCCTTCCTAATTAGGCTTACCTTACTTCCTTGTGATACCCCACTACCATCCTTTGCTTGTTCGTTCATTCATTCACTCACTCACTCACTCACTCACTCACTCACTCACTCACTCACTCACTCACTCACTCACTCACTCATTCACTCATTCATTTCATCCTTAATTCCTTTCTTCCATCTCTCTTAGTTTCTTTATTTCTTGTGGTTCCTTCCTCCCTCCCTCTCCCCCTCCCTCCCTCTCTCCCTCCCTCTCTCCATCCCTCCCTCCCATGCCATCCCGTCCTTCATTCTGCGTTACCACTCTGCAATCTTTCTGATAGACATATACATGTAATTCTAATATGAAAATGTTATTCTTCAAACATTGGACACAAACACCTAACCAAAATATATTTTAAATATTTTCTACAGTAACTGTAGAGATGTGAGGCATGCCAATACATATGCCATGACAGAAACAACAGCAGCTCTGATGGCTGAACAGTTCCGCAAGTAAGTTTTCTATTATATTTAAATAGAAAGGTTTTTATTATTCCATTATTCATTATGTCAGTGTTGATATAATACATTACTCTAACCAAAGCCAAGGGGTTTATTTTACTAATACAGTGGCCCCTCGCTAAGTCGCAAGTGCTTTTTTGCATTGTGTATTTAATTGGCCGTTAAATGGCTGGAGGAGATGACTTAACACCTACTGACCATCAATTATTGAGATACAAAGGCTGATGGCGGTATGAAGTTGCGACTTTACGTTCTTCTCAGCCAGCCATCTTTCATAAAGCTCTATAAAACTCGCTGCAATTAGTTGAATTAATCCTTACGAACATGAACGCAGGAATGTGTTTCAATAAAGAAAACGTACTATAAATAAATCCATCTAGTATGTATATGTACATGTAGTTTTTATCCATTTTCAATGCATGAGGCCCCTTCTATTATACATTTACTATACTTTTTCTCACAGAGTGAATGACGATGCCTTTCCAGTAATTGACTCTTTTGCCTGGCAAGAACTTGGTAAAGTACAAGATGAAATACAGAGAAAGGTTAGTCAGTGTACTGTGGCTTTCAAAACATACTTATATTATTTACTCTCACCAGATTCAACATCTACTGCTGTATTCCAACTGGATCCCTTATGTCATGACAATTCAGTGTAATAAAGCAGTATATTAATTTTCTATATTTCTTATACTTTAATAAAAATTTAGGAAATCTGATTGGTCCATGCAAGCAGATTCACCTTTTGACATGATTGGCTATTGCTAAAAATACGCCAACAAGATGTGGGCGGTTTCACTGAGTATTTCAGTATTATTATGAATAACATTTCCCTTAATTGCAATGAAGACTGTGCAATTAACGAAGACTTGTTTGTTTGTAGGTTCCCTACTGCTATTGCTAAAAATACGCCAACAAGATGTGGGCGGTTTCACACAGTATTTTCAGTATTGAGAGTTGTATTATAATTTGAATATTTCTCTTAGTTGCTGATTTTGGCTGAAGTTGTGTGATATAAAGCTGCATATATTTGAAATTATATTTCTAACCTCAACTTCTGCACCCACAGAAATTAGGTTTACCCATGTGTAGTGAATCTAATACCATAAATATTGTGATGGCTCGAAAACTATTTCTTAATCGTAACTGTAAAATACTTTATTTTAGTTAAAATTAATTTTTTGATGAAAAGACTTTTTGGGTATTTTTTTGAATTTATTTTAACTAATTTTTGACAATGTAAAATATAGCAAAAAAGGTATATTCACTGTTTTTTATTTTCACTCAATCATTGCTTCAGCAAATATAGTGAAAATTAATTCTAAGCGAAAATAAATATTTGACAGTAAGCTAATGGTCATCAATGTTCATGAACAGCATTCTTTTATGCAAATGAGCCATAATTCTGTACATACACACCCACTAATAATGATCATTGCATTAGTTTTTAGCCTTTTAGAATGGATACATGAGATGAACACAATATTAAATTTGTGATCCTGCATTATCACAGGGGGCAAGGGGGATGCTGATACAAGTTACAGGAAATAAAAATTGCATTTTATGATTTTACAGGAAATATAATGAAAGTTCTATTTACAGTAAAAAATAGGCTTTTACACTTTACAAATAAAGCAATTTCCTAATTACATTTTTATAATATATTTGATAATTTGTGTTTAAAAATCAAAATTGGAAATTGCATACAAATTACAACATTTAAGGTGGAAAATGCTTTATACTTACAAAAAATATGATTTTTGTACAAATTGCGGACGAATAAAATAGCTGATTACATTTTACACCGTGTCCATGTCTACGAATTTACATTTTTATTTAAATTACATTATAACAAAAATAAAAACAATTGATTACAGCTTACGAAATTACCCCTTTATTATCAGATTTATTAAAGTGCCTGTGCAATGCCCACCCTCACGTTTCCCATTTTAGATCTGTATCCCACTGAAATGGGCAGTTATTGATTTTTTTGCTGAAAATGATTACTCGTATCCAGGAAAATTTGGGATATTTCTCGTGTTGTAGCCATGCCCACCTATCCTGAAACGGTCGACTGTTTCCGGATTTCCGACTCTCGCCGAAAGTGCGCCACCAAATGCCAAAATGTGAGAGGAAGTCATACCCCTGAGCCGTAATAACACTGGTCATTCAGTATACTTTTAAATGATATACATTTTTCAGTCGGCGTTTTTTTTCTTTC